ATGAATTTTTATTCATTGTTTTATTAGAAATAAAAGTTGTTGGTGTAGTACCACAAAACAGACACACACAAGAAGAAGAGCCTATTCCTCTTTCCTTAGTCAACCCATTGTTGTTATTATTATGAGTAATAAAACTAATACAACACCTACTACAAGAATAAACAAAAACAACCTCATCTAAAAAAGTAAAAAACTAAAATTATTGTAATTAAGAAGATAATTTAAAATATGGAAAAATAACTTAGACTTGATTTGTCGGAGAATGTGCTAAAGAATCTTCATGGACTTCAGTCAATAATTCACCCTCTTGGTCTGGTTGTTCATCATCAACCTCTGGTGATGCTTTGTCGTATTGACGATATTCATTAACAAGATCAATAAGATCAGCAGTAGCTTCACTAAATTCACTCTCTTCCATACCTTCTTCTGTGTATAAATGTAAGAAAGCTTTTCTCTTGAACATAGACAAAAATTGAGAATTTACTCTTTGGAATAAATCCATAATAGAAGTAGAATTTCCAATAAATGTTCCTGACAAATTTAGTCCTTTTGGTGGAACATCACAAACAGCTAACTGCATGTTATTTGGAATCCATGGAACAAAAGCATCTGGATTTTTTTCTCTTATTTTGTATAATTGTTCCTCTACATCATGAGTTGATACTTTTCCTCTCATAATACATGATGCAGTTAGATACTTTCCACTAGCTGGGTCTAAGTCTACCATCATATTCTTTCTATCAAACAATTGTTGAATAATTTCTTGTACACTTAAGCTTTCATATTGCATTGAAAGAGCACTTGAAACTGGAGCAATAGACGATGAGAAAAAGTGTAGCCTTGGATATGGAATCATATTAACAGTTAATTTCTTTAAGTCTTGATTTAATTGACCTGGGAATCTCAATGAACAAGTAATTCCAGACATAACTGAAGATATTAATGAATTTAATGATTCGTATGATGGCTTTGGTTCTTTCATAATGTCTGAAGCAATTTTAAATAATGCTTCATTGTCAAAGCAAAAAGTGACTCCAGAAGATTCAAGTAATTTATGAACTGACAATGTGCAATTATATGGTTCTACAACAGTTTCACTAACAGTTGGAGATGGAACTACTGAGAAGGTTGAAATAACCTTTTCAAAAAATTCATCTTTTAATTTACTTAATAATAATGTTCCAAGACCAGAACCTGTTCCTCCTCCAAGTGAATGAGTAACTTGGAATCCTTGAAGACATTCACAAGCCTCTGCCTCTTTTCTGACACTTTCCATGATAGTTTCACAAATTTCAGTTCCTTCAGTGTAATGACCTTTAGCCCAATTATTTCCAGCCCCACCATGACCAAAAATGAATGAGTCTGGTTTAAAGAAATGTCCCATTTTACCAGACTTAATAGTGTCAAGAGTACCTGGTTCTAAATCGACATTAATTGATCTTGGAACATATCTTTTAGTAGAACTCTCACTAAAATAAACATTTAGTCTTTGTTGCTGTAATTTATTTCCATTAAATATACCATCTGGAGATAATCCATGTTCTTGTCCAATAATATCCCAAAACTTCTCTCCAACTTGATTTCCACATTGCCCAATCTGGAGGCAAATGATTTCTCTCATATTTTCTTTGATTATTGAGTTTCAGTATTTCTTTTTTAATCTTTTTTTCTTGAAAACCCTCAAACAGAACTCTTTATTTTACTTTTTTATCGTTATTTACTCTTCTTATTTTTATAGTATTTTACTATTTTTTGTTATTAATTTACTGTAAATAAAGAAATGAGATTATGAGTTTTTGGAATTTAGATTTGATAGGAGATTTTACTCACTTTCTTTTAAGATAACAAAATAATAAAAAGAGACATTCAAAGAAATATATAATGTTTGTTTTATCAAACGAGGAGAAAAGAAAAATAACTAGGAAAATGAGAGAAGTGAATTTAGACAAAGACAAATTCATAACCTTTAGCTTTTAATGCGTCACCAAGAGCTTGTTTATGGTTTTTATCAGCAACTTCTACTGAGAATCTGATGGTACACATTCCAATACCTACATTCTTTTTAACTTGGAAATCATATAATTGAGCTTTTTGTTCAGCAATAATACTAACTAATTCATTGAGATTGATTGGTGAATCTGGAGCAGTAACTTCTAATTTAAGTGAACGTTCACAATTAATTAATCCAAGATCAATAACAGTATTTAATAATCTCATATTAACATTACCACCAGAAACAATAACTGCAACTTTTGAGCCTTTCTCAATTGGAAGTTTTTTAGAAAGGAGACCAGCTAAAGCAACAGCCCCAGCTCCTTCAATAATAACTTTACATCTCTCCATTAATAACATCATAGCTCTAGTGATTTGGGTTTCATCAACTGTAATAATATCATCAACATAAGATTCTATCATGTGAAGAGTTAAATTTCCAATAGTATTAACAACATCAGTTAATTCATTATCTTCATTTTGATGAGTTCTACAAAGAACATGATGTTTTTTAGAAAGATAAGCTGAAGACCCTTTTTCATTTTGAACACCATAAACTTTAACTCTTGGATCAAGAGTTTTAACAGCTAAAGCTAATCCACAAAGTAAACTTCCTGATCCAATTGGTGCAATAATAGCATCTACATCTGGTAAATCTCTTAAAATCTCAAGACCAACTGTTCCATCACCAGCAATAATAGAAACGTCATCACGAGCTTCAATGTAAGCAAGTCTTTTTTCAGTTGACATTTCTTTGGCATAAGCTTCAGCTTCTGCAACAGTAACTCCATGTAAAATAACAGTAGCACCATATCTTTTCATTGTTTCTGCTCTTCTTGGGTTTGTAAAATTTGGAACAATGATGGTAGTTGGAACACCTAATTGTTTACCACAATAAGCAACAGCCATACCATGATTACCACTTGAAGCAGCAATTACCCCTCTTTTCTTTTCAGCAAGAGTTAATGAATTAAATTTGTTCATAACACCTCGTACTTTAAATGAACCACTTTTTTGCATATTTTCTAATTTAAAATAAACATCCATTCCAATGTCTGCTGAAATGCTAGCATTAGAATCTAATGGAGTATGATGAATGTGATCGCTGATAACATGTTTGGCTGTATAAACATCAGATAAGAAGATTTGTTCTAAAACTTGTTCGTCTCCTTCTCCAATATGAATCTCACTAAAAGAAGCATCTCTTAGAGCAAGTGCAGGAACTTCTACGTCACTCATATTACTATTCAAATGTTTTATACAAATTTGAGATGTTTTTCCAATTTTAAATTATTAGTTTGTGTTCCACACCTTCCATCTCTTCTTTTTTCTGAATTATGGAACATTGTTTATTTTAATAGAAACTTTCAGAATTTATCAGAATTAAACTCTTTTACTCTCCTTGTTTGATAGATTTTTTTTTTTTCATTTTTGGTTAGACTTTACTTTTGTTTAATTTTTTTCATTTTTCATTTAAAAAAATTGTATAATAGTAATTAATAGTATATTTTATTATTAATAGTATATTCCATTAAAACGAAAATAAAGAAGAAAAAAGAATTTCAAAAATGAAATTTAGAAGATTTTACTTCGTTTATGTTTGGATAACCTTTATTATTATTTTAATTCAAACAGTATTATTTTTATATAATTTATTAAAAGATTTTTTAAGTGAGCTTTTATTAAAATTAAGACATTTTCTTTAATTATTAATGTTAAAATAATGAAATAAGTATTACTTTTATAATGAAGAAACAAAGTAAAATATATATAATAACATTTATTAATAGAAATATGAAAACCAAACAAAGAAGTAGTACTTTATATTATGGTTTTATATTCAATATTATTTTATATAACACTTTTAATGAAAATACAATTATATTTTTTTTGAAAAGAATATAATATTATATAAAACAAACAATAAGACTATTTAAATTCTACATTGAAGAAATTATTTTGTTTTCGTGGATATAGAAATTTAACTGTTTTAATAGATGTTATGAAATATTCTTCTAATAAACAAAAATGTTTCAATTAATAAAATAGTTTAATTATTAAATATTTTTATTATGTTGACTATTGAACAATTAACCAATTATTATTCTCTTATTTAAAAATGATCTTTTTGGTAAATATCTTTCAATAAAGAAAGAACTAAAAACATCAAAAAAGTAGTATAAATTGTAGTTATAAAAAAATATTGTTGTTATTTAAAAAAAGAAAAAAAATAAAAACTTGAAAAAAATAAGAAATCCAACTCTACGTTGTGAGATGATTATTAATGGAACTTCTTTTGAAGAGTTATATAACGGACTTCGAAATCGTGGGAAAGACAAAAAAACAATTCAGTTGTATGTATCACCTACAGTAGATGCTATTGTATGTTATAAAATCTTATCAATGATGTTTGAAAAAGATGGATTATTACATTCAGCAGTTCCAGTTAATAATTATGAAACATTGTCAAGAGTTTTTAAAGAAACCATTGGACATACAGATGTTCATACAGTATTTTTTATTGACTGTGCTGGTTCAATTGATGTAAGTGAATTACTTGGAGATATAGAAAATATTTTTGTATATATTATTGATTCACACAGACCATTTAATAAATTAAATGTAACAAGTACAAATATTGGATTAATTACATCAAATGAATATAAACAATTCACTGAACAAGAAACACAATTAGAAAAATCTGATTTACTTGAAGTTGATGATGATTTAATTGGATTAAATAAAAGTCAATCATTAAATAATTGTGAATATATAAGAAAGATGGTTGATAGTGATGGAGAATTTTATTCAGAAAGTGTAGGAAGAGTAGCACTTGGAATTGCAAAAAAATTAAATAAAGTAGAAAATGATATGTATTGGTATGCTGCAATAGGTGTGTGTGATCAATACATTTCATTAAAAATTAATGCTAAAACATATGTTCATGCTATTCAATATTTTATTGATAATTTACAATTAGAAACTCTAGAAATAACAGACCTTCTTCAAACAGTTAAAACTCCAATGTGTGTAAAGATGGATTGTCAATTAATGTTATTACGTCATTGGACTTTATATGATTCATTGTTTCATACAAGAGAAATTGCTTCAAAACTTGGAATATGGACAAGTAGAGGGAAAGAAAAATTTGATGTTCTAATAGCCGATATGGGTATTCCATTATCTCAAGCTCAACAAAGTTATAAAACAATGTCATTAGAAATGAAGAATAAATTTTTATTAAAGATGGAAGGATATTCTAAATTCTATCATTTTGAAAATTTATTTCTCCCTTCTTTCTTTAAAAAATTTGGTATGGATTATTCTATTAGTGCTTTTGATGCTGCACATGCTATAGGGTCAATCATCACTAATGATGAACCTGACCAAAATTGGCAACAACAATTCTGGGAAGGTTTTAAATTATTGTCTAGTACTACTGCTGAGCCTTATGACTTTGGATTCACTAAATGTATTGAATCTAATAAAAACTTAGTAGAAACAGGAATTATTTTATTATTGTCTGGATCCTGTTTTAATGAAGCAAATAAATATCGATTTTGTTCTGTTAGTGATGCCTTATTATCAATTCGGTTTAAAACCCCTTATAAAGCATTACAACTAGCTCAATTTCTTGCAGAAGCATCATCGAGAAGGTATAAGAAATGGTTACCTTTTATTCTCGCTGTTCTTGATGCTGAGAAAAAAACTTTTGTAATAGTAGGATACAGCTCACCTATTTCTGTTAAAACTCTAAATTATTTTGGGGCTAAATTCACTCAAACAGCTCAAAATATGAAAATATCTATTCTCCAAAAAAGTTTTGATTCATTTGTAACAGAAATTCATAGAGAAAACCTTGTGAAATATAAGAAAGCTTTGCACAAATGTTTTACTTCTATTTGAGTTGGTTTATTGATAAATTTTTTCTGTTTTATATAACGAAAATAAACCAAAAATATTATAAAAAGCATCACCATATCACTTGCTTTTCTCTTATTTGATTAGAAGAAATAATGACGACAAATGATTACAATAATAATTAGGACTACTGCAAAAATTAAAATCAACCACTTATTTCTTTGGACCATCTTTTTAAATTTAACTGCATCATCACGATATGACGCAGTCTCAAATACCAAATCATCACTCTTTTTTGACATTTCTATTAGTGTAAATTCCTTCTTTAATTCTTTTATGATATTAAAAGTACAAACGCTTTAATTTCTCATCTCGAACAAGAATATGTTCAAGGGTTTTAGAAGCAATATCTTGGATATCCTGTAAATCTGCATTTGCACGTTCAAGGTTGGTTCTTTGAAGTCGACTAGTCATGATAATTAAGGAATAAACTTGGAATAATGAGATCTGAGATTTACTAATGGAAGAACAACATAATGATGAAATGATGGATATCATTCTACAATCTGTTGGAGCAAAAGATTTTGGTTTATTAATGAATAAAACACAAAAATATCAAATTACAAAACGAGTATTATCATCATATGAGTTGAATGAAATGATTCAATATGAGAAGGTCCAAAATGAATTTCAAAAAATCAAAGGGGATATACGTTCAGAACAATTACTATGGCAAAAAATATTAAATTCTAAAACACTCTATCAAGTATCTGAAATAAGAAGAAATAGACTTCCTAATGATGAAATGGCAAAAGAGTATAGTATTCAACCATATGAACAGGATTACTTAAAATATGGAATAAAAATTCATAAAACTCAGGCTTCAATTATTAATATTACTGGAAATGGAAAATTAGCTCATATGGGAATTAATAAAGGCATTGAACAAAATGAAGTTACATGGAAAGAAAATGAAAGTAATGATAATGATTTGATTAAGACTCAAATAACATGTAATAAAGAAGATGATTGGAAACAATATAATTTGGAAAAAAAATATTTAGAAGACATAGAATTGAAAAAACGAATGAATAGTATTAGTAGTCCAATCACAGACATTAATGTACAAGAAACAATTGTTGATTGGAATAAAATTATTGGCTGGTGTGAAGAATGGAATAAAATAGACATACAAACAAATAATAAAGAAGGACAATTAAATGAAATGAATAAGCAATTATGTTTTAAAATGTATTCAATAATTCAACAACTTGTTATGATGTATTGGAAATCAGATGAAGAAAGAAAGAAAAAATTAAAAACATTGATAGATAAAACTACCAATCAAATTAATGTTTGTTTATTGTTTTAATATTTTCATTCTTTGAAAATTCACATGAAAGGAAAAATTAATACTGTTTAAAGACAATCAAGAGGTTATCTCTATTTTTCAACAAATGAATACAATTATAACAAAAGCTCTCTCTCATTCTTAAATAATTTATGTTTTAATTTTGATTATTTAAGTTTCATTATTATAACAAAGGAATAGTAAAACAAAAAAAAGATAATATCTTGAAATTTCTTATTGAAACAATTTCTAATTATCTCTTTTTAATAATTAATGTATATTTTTAATAACTTATAAAAATAAAGACAAAAGATTGAATAATAAAAAAGACGATGATTGTATGTACATTTCTAGAGACGATAGTTAAATGTGTTATCATCTGAAAATTCTTCAGAGAAATCATTTGATTCAATCTGAGTTGGTGACGTAAAATCTACATGGAAATTAGAAAAGTCAACTGAACCAAACGGAATTGGATTAGAGTCAGGAGGAGGACAGCCAAAATGAATCTTTTGTTGTTCTGTTAAAATTTGTCTGTTCATTTCAAAAGACAATGAAGAAGGAGTAATAACAGAAGAGTTAGAACTTAAGTTGTCAAAGTATATTTGCTGTTGGGGAATTGGTCGAGCAATTGTAATTTCTTGTATTTCCATAATGTTAATATACTTTTTGAGTTCTTTGAATCTTCTTTTTCTTTCTCAATGTTTTTTTCATTTTAAGATTAATCACTTATCAATAAAAAATGTATTAAGGTTATATAAAACAAATATTTTATTAAGTAAGTACAATAGGATGGTTTGTTGATTTTATTTTATGACGCAATACAGGGGAACATCCATTCAATGAACTGTACATGATTTTTGTTTTGTTGTTATACATTCCATTATGCCAATCTGAGAAGCAGGTTCTTTGAGTACATTGATCTACTGTTGTATTTAGTTTTTTAAAGGCATTAGTATAATATAAATAATTTAATGTTGCTTGTTCAATTCCCCAAAAAGAAAGTTTTTCTTTACGAGACAATAACGAGTCTTTCATTATTCTTAAAAATTCAAACATAGGTTCAATACCTCCAAGAACTACACCAGCATTAAGACTAATATATTTATTTTTACAAAACTGGTTTCTAATTTCTTTATTAAATCCTTTCTCAAGCCATTCATCATTATAAGGATATCCAGGTTGACCAAAATAATTACAACGAGTTTCATTATTTTTTATACCATAACACTGAGTTGAAAACACTATTTCTTGACTTGAGAATGTAGAAAAAATATCACCAAATATAAAGACATCTCTAATATCAATAATTAATACTCTATCAAAGTTCTTTTTATATTTAAGTAAATAATAATAATACTCTATATATCTTTGATTCACAGGATTTTCATTGTTAATTGGTTTTTGAATAACTTGAACTTTATATTTATTAAACTCTTTTTGAAGGTCTTGTGGTGGCGGTTCTTTAAAATTAATCATTACTTTTGTTGCAAATGGAATACTATTACAAGTAATTCCTAAAGCACGTATTAATTGAGGTTTATTTCTTTTCCATTGTTCAGCATTATATCCAATCCCATAAAATAATAAATCTCGTGAGTTATGTCTTTTATATTTAAATATTTTTCCACAATCTCCATAATAATTGAAGTTACTTACATTAAAGAAATTATCATAATAATTTGACTTATATAAGACAGGATTATCAATATATTTCATTCCCATATTTTGATTATTCAAACATACAATACAAAATAAGAATAACAATATTATAAATAATGATGGTAACACCAAGAATATTTTATTCATTAAAATATGTGAAGTTCTTTCATTGTTTCCATTTTATCTTTGATTTTTCTATTCTTTTTATAAAAAGGTATATAAAACATTTTTCTTCTCTATGAAAATTCAAAAAGTAAATTAGTAATATTTTCACCTCTCTTTTTTAAAGGAAAGAAGAGTTTTTTAATAAGATATGATAATAACAAAACCAGATAAAAGGTTGTAAAATTACTTAAATTCAAGAGGAAATATCCAATACAATATATTTGGTCCTAATGCCTTCTTAAAATTACTAAAACGAAATGGTGGATGATGAACATCTTCATTGTTATGTTCTTTTGTATTTAATTCTCCTATTTCTACACCTGATAACCCATAAAGTATATCTCTTGTATGAATATATAACATTAACACCATTAGTGCTGTGATTGAGAAAGAGATACAAGTCATCATTATGACAAAATAATAAAGTAATCCTATCTTAAAACTGAATGGAGTCCAAATGTTTGAAACAAATAAAATTTCATACCAAAACATGGATAAATGATATGCTCCAACAAAGCCAATTAGTCCCATAGAAACAAGAAATTGCCAAAATGCTCTTAAATTGGTTTTACCTACACAACATCCTAACCAACTACAATGGTGGTCTCGTTCTAAAGTACATTTATTACAAATCACACAATGATAAGCTCGTGGAGGAAGAAAATGACTACAATAAATACAATAGCGTGCTGGGTAATTTGTTTCTATTAGTTTTTTGTTATATTTTAGAGCGAGTTGAGCACGTTCAATAGCCTGTAATTTTTCTTCTTCTGAACAAATTGGTACATATCCACCATTATAATAGGATGGTTTAATTGGTAAAAACAATCTAAATACTGAGTTGATTATTATTCCAATTGTGAAAATCAACAGAAATGGATGAGATTGGATCCAATTCATTTTAATATAAAAACAATAAAAAAAGAGACCAGTACTAAACATGATTAACAATGCTCCATAAATAAGTATATATTTCTGGTATTTTTCAATCATTATTTTACCATCCCGTTCAGTCTGAATCATTTTGTTAGACATATCATGAAGACGGTTGTAGTAAGGAGGTGTTGGCAAGTTTGGTTGATTTGAAATGTCTACCTCCATTAAATTTTTAAGATTAACTTTTATTTGAATGAATTTTAGTAGTTCCACTAAAAGAATGAAGTTGTCATTAACAGTGATAGAAAGAGAAGTGAAAGAAAAAGCTAGTTCTATAGAAAAAAAAAGAAATTGAAAGTTAAATACGAAAATGATGTATTATTCATTGAATTTCGAAGAAGAAAAAAATCGAAGCACATTTGGAGAAGTATTAGTTCTGAATCTGAAAATAAATTAGTTACAATAGACATACAATGAGTTCATTACTTAATTTTTTTAAACAGCCTAATGACATAGCTATATTTCTTAATCAACCATTTCTTCAATATGAAAATATTTTTGAAGATTTTACAATTCACAAACCAGTAATTGAGAAGATCACTGAAAGGGATATCCTTAGTATTCCTGACCCAACACCAACTCAACTCTGTTTGTCTTTTTTTTTAATTAAAATATTAAAAACTAGAGAATATTAATAAAAGAAAAATGTAATTAACTAATACAATAGTAGCAATTATTCCTGTACCAGAAATTATTTATTATCATATTGTAACAGCTATTTCAACATTTCCATTATTAAATGAAATTCTTCTTAGTATTGTTCCACAACAAATGAATGAAATGGTATTTTGGTATAAATATTTTAGTTTTTTATTTAAGTCAGAAAACCAAAATTCACTTCTTGATGATTTAGCACAAGAACGAAATGGAATTTATTTAACATTAACAAGTGAAACAACTAAAGAAATTTATTTGTCTTATATGAAAAATTGTTTTATTGGACAACGAGGGATGTTATTAATGAAATATATTCAAATTATTAATCAAACAACAAATGGAATGTTAGACAAAACGTTTTATAAATTCACAGAGAGATTAGAAGGTTTACCAAAAAATCAAAGTGAAATTAAATTTAGATATGAATTTCTTATAACAATATTTGGAGAAATATTTAGACGATGTAAATGTTTATATATTCCATATGTTGGTAATTTGGTATTAGAAGCTGTTCAATTATTTGATATTAATGATGCATTTTATTGTGTTATGGAATTTGTCATTAAAGCACAATGCTGTGGACATTTTTATTCATCACAATATGGACTAGAAAATTTAGTTGAATATATTTATTGTATATTAAAAACAACATACCCAGCATTAGATAACAGTTTGTTTTTTTTTTTATATTTTTTTAATTCACTTTAATTTTGAACGTTTAAAAATACAAATTTATTATTAGAGTATCGACAAAGTATTAACCATTTCATTACTGTTTCATTAAAAAGTTTAACACTAAAATTAATTGAACCTTTAGAAGTAATTAAAAGAAAAGCAATTGTTGAAATAATATTAAAAGATGGAAAAATAGCAGTGATTAAATTGTTTCTTGTTTTATTTAAATCTTTACATAAAATTGATTTTACTAATTTGATAAATTCAATAAAACAAATCGTTAATTCTTATCTCTCTGATGACTCACCGAACTCTTTATTGGCTGAAGTATTAAACTATGAATTAAATCCATTCCTTTTAACAAATCATATTTTTAATACACTCCAATTTCCACCAAACAAAGAAATGCAAAGAAGAATAATAAATAAGGAACAATTACAAGGAATTTCTGATATTGTCAATGAAGATGAATTTCTTGAAATATATACTATGCTCCCCCCTCGATTACAAATGCTTACTCCTGAACAAATTTTTACTTCAAGTATTGATGGTTTAAGTTTAAAAACATTATATTCAAAATGTATGTACCATTCTTTGTTACTTATTATTTGTAGAAGAGGTAGTTATATATTTGGTGTATTTGTTGCTGAATCATTTGAAATGAAGAAAGATTTTTATGGTAATAGTGAAACCTTTTTGTTTACAATAAAACCAAAGTCAAGAAAATACTCTCACATTCAAAATAGTAATCATTTTATTATAAACTCAACACCAGAAGCATTAAGTTTTGGAGGAGGAACGTTTGTTATTATTTTTATTTTATTTAATAAAAAAGCAATATTTAATCATTGTTAAGTGGACATCCATCTCTTTCATTTGACTGTTATTTAAATGTTATAAGTCAAACATCACCAACATTTAATAATCCACCATTAGTACCAAGATCACTTGCAAGTCGTTGTGATAGAGTTGAAGTGTACTCATTCTGTTAAAGCATTATATGTAATAAAAGGAACAAAAAAATAAGTTGTGATAAAATGATTACAATTACAATTTTGTTTTAGTGCTTCCTTTTTAATTAATCTTTCTTAAAAATAAGGATATATATCTATCTATTTGTTTATTTTGATGTATTAAAAATCCTTTTCTTCTTCTTAGAATAAAGAAGCAAATAAATTTCCATCAATCCTGTGTTTATACATATGAGACATAAATGTGTTTGTTGTTAATGGTTTTGTTAATAAAGTAAAAGGATTTTTCAATTTTTGTTGTAGAATATTTGGATCCTTTTCATTTAAAATTCCTTCCTCAATAAAATGAAAGATTGTATCTGAAACAGAAAACATTGCTGTAAATCCTTCTAATAAAATAACATCAAATACTCGTATTGCTAATTCGAATTTAAGTGAGTGAATAAACCAAAGATAATTCCATTCAAACATAAAAAAAGGGAGTGATTGGTCCATAATACCACATTGTCTGAATTTTTCTGCAATTTTTGGATGTCTAGTATCTAATAACTTTTTTGTAACAATCCAACACTTTTTAATAAAATTAAAGTCTTGAAACATTTCTTTTAAACGATATTTTGATGTAAATAATTTTAATGTTCCAGCAAAAGCACTAAGTTCGTCTAAAAAAATACAAAGAACAGAAGGAGCACATGATATTCCTTGGACATAATCAAAAGAAATATCATGTAAAGAAATTGCATGCATAACATAAAACAATTCTTTTTGACCACCAGAATAACGAACATGAAATTTATAATGGAATTGAAAACTTCTATTAACGTCTAAGTCTAATTGTTTATCATGAGGAGATCTTGAATATATTTGTGTATTTCTTTTAAATTCTTCTTTTAATTCTTGATTAATTTCTTCTATTCCTAATATCCTTTTCCAATATAAAATTCTATAATCATCAGGAACTCCTTTATATACTCGTTCTTGTAATTTAACAGGAATATTTTCATCCCAGTCTTTGTCGAGCATTCTTTCCCATTTTCTATTTCTTTCTTTTTGTTGATTTATTTTTTTATGTGAATATTTTTTTACAATAAATAATTCTCCTTTTTCTCCTTCAACTTCAAAAAACCCATATCTATTAACATTACTCGGTTTTTCTACAACTTCATTATTATAATCATATAATAACTTGACGTCAACTCTTGAATCAATGTCTAATATATAATTTGCTAATTGTTCTAATTTATTCATAATAGCATATTCTACTGGCATTTTTCCTGTATTGTCTTTTACTCGTGTTAATGGATGACAGTCCATACTTCGTGCAATTAATAACAAGTTTTCATTCACAAGTTTGTTTAAACAAAGATAATGTAGACAATTCCTTCCAACTTTATCGGCTACATTAATTAAGTAATTTTTTTTAAATAAAATTTATCATTCGAAACTATATTCTTATGAGTGAAAACAAACTTGACGCAGTGTTTGCTTTGTTCTGTATTAATAATTGAACAATAGATAAATTATTATTTTGACATGCCAACATTAAGGGAGTTGCACCAAACTTGTTTTTACTGTCGACACTAATACCTTTATTGATTAATTCGAGTATCTTATTTCTGTCATTCATTACATGAAAAATGTCATTATTTTCGTTAATTCCATCTGAGCTGTGACAGGACTGCTTGTCACTCATTTCTCTCCTCAAAAATGAGATTTAGATTGCTTTCTTAAAAAAAAAAGAGAAAACTAAAAATAATGATTAACTTGTTCAATTCAAGTTAATTTTCTATCTAGTTTTGGTGTTACTTTTTCTTACTTTCTTTTAGTTTTTTATAACTTGTTTTTATTATATGACTATTTTTGGAGAAAATATTCCAAGTATTACTTTCTTGTTATTGATATTTTATGGAAATTTTCGGGGAAATATTTTGTTTATTCTTAGTTATTCTTAAAGTAACGAATATAATGTTATATACAACGATTAACCTGCGTTGATTTCTGAAAGGAAAAAGGGTAAAAATACATTTATTTTGTTTCACATCCAATTTTTATTATGAATTAATATTTTATAATATTTAATAGATAATATATAGTAAAATCGTTAATAATTGTATCTTAAAATAAAAATAAAATCAGTTTTATGACTCAAAAAATTGGTTAGAGTTTTATTAATTTAACTAATGAGATTATTCTATTCTTAATCTCTTCAGAAATAGCTGGTTTACTTTCTAACCAATTTTCTGCTTTTTTAACAACTAACTTCCATTCAACTTTATTTTCAGAGAACCTTTCTTTTAATAAATGAATAACAAAAAATGTTTGAATAACATCATTGTCAATACCATTGCTTTGAATCGTAATAATTTCTTTAATTATTTCTTCTACACCAACAAACTCTCCATTTGCTTTTTGACACTCAATAATTTTTTCAAACTTTATTTCTTTATCAACAGTATCTTGGAAAAATTCTTTTTTTTCTTCAATACACGAATTTGAACATTCATTATTTGACGTTGAATTCGTCACTGATAGTACTGGCTGGCTGTTTGCCATATTTGTAGAGATTAAATTATTACTATAACAAAAATCCAGATCTTCAAAGTCATAACAACTTTCACATTCTTCCTCTAAAACATCATCTGCTATTTCTAAATCATCATCTGCCATGACACTAAGCCCAAGATTAGAATAAGCTGAGACTGGATGAAGAAGGTTCTGGTTATAGCACATCTCATTTAATTTAATATTCTTGATAAAGTCAA